ACTATAGCAGAGAGTATAGTACCTAAACTTCATTTAAGTAAAAATGTAAGTAAAAAAAATTAAATGAAAGTTGACTAATTAGTCAACATTCAACAAACATCTATTAAGTGTTTATAATGTGCTGAAAACAAAATGATACATAAGAAGTACTAGGGGAAAGACTGTTTTTGACAAGGAAGATCAGAAAATGGATCCGGGCAGTCAGTCAACAAACATTTGTGAAGTCTTTACTATGCGCTAAGTACTGTGCTAAATTTTGGGAATTATAAATACAAAGAAAGGAATAATTTTTGTTGCTGTGATTCGGTCTGTCCAACTCTTCCTGAGCCCATTTGGGGTTTTCTTGGGCAGAAATACTTGAATGGTTTGCCATTTCCTTCTGCAATTCATTTTACAAATGACGAACCAGAGGTAAACAAGGTTAAGTAACTTGCCCAGGGTCACACAGTTAGTATAGTATAGTAAGTGTCTGAGGTGGGATTTGAACTCAGTAAAATGAGTCTTCCTGACTCCAGGTCCAGGCTCTGTCCATTGTGCCACCTAGCTAACCCAATATGAGTTTAACACAGGAAGTCAACAAGCATTTATTAAGTTCCTACTAGGTGCTAAGCACTGTGCTACTCACTGAAAAAGAATGAATTTCATTGATAAGCAGGGACAAAAATCACTGACTGTCCATTCTTATAATGTGTTGGAGACTGAAAACAAAGGGTTATGTACTAAAAACTTGTTCACTGGAGGATCTGAGAAGTAAGAAAGTCTGGCAATCTGCCAACAAGCATTTAAGTGCTAGGCTCTGGAATTAAAAGTATAAACGAGCCCTGTCCTCCAAGAATTTACCTTCTAACCTGGAGCATAAACCCAGCTAACTTAAAGGGGCACAAAATCAATTACTCAATAATAAAGGAGGGGCCACACACTGTGAAAGACAAACAAACAAGCTTTCAAACAAAAACCCAATCTCTGCCCTCCGGGAGTGTATGTTCCAAGAGCAAGAGATGCAATTTCAACTTTAAAGAATGTGTGGGATTCTACAGGCAAAAAGGACGAAAGAGAATATTTCAGATTTGGGGAATAATTGAATCAACATTTCTCTCTAGGCCACACCTTCAGGTCTCTCTCTTTGGTTTCCTAAAGAAAAGGATTCCCTCCTGTCCCTTTGGGCAGAAGCGGGACCAACATTTAATGCCCCTTTGCCCCCTTGAAGTTTCCACCTCAACTTACACTCGGGGTTTTTTTTTTCTTTTTCTTTGAAAGTCAAGTCCAACTCAGGAATTTCCCCTGGTTGAATCAAGTAAATAATGAGTGATTGATTAAGAGAAGTTTTTCCACCCAATAGAGCCAGTAACTTTAAAGGATCTTTTTAAAAAAATCTTAATATGCTTTTGTCAATCCATCAGCAAAGTCCAAAGGCAACCTGAAGTAGCATCTTCATTTTAAATAGCACTCTGCTTGTAGAATTCATGTGCCCTCAACTAATGAAATTTATTTTACCTGTGACATTTCCAGGCCATGCTTCACACCAGTTACCAGCAACTTTCTTCATTTTCAAACAAATAGCCTGACATGCATTAGCCAAATAATAATGAGCTCTGTTAACAGGTAAAATAAAGGTTGGGGCCCAACACTAATAGACCAGGGCACTCTGGCAGAGACAAACTAATTATTAACAATAATTTGATAAAACCAGGAATTCCTGAAAGTGACTAATAAATCCTGATTTCCTTTTTTTTTTTTTTTTTTTTAATGTGTGTATCTTGGGGAAAAGCTTCCTCATTCAAGTATATATTAGTCGGGGCAGCTAGGTGGCAAAGTGGATAGAGCACAGACCCTGAATTTAGGAGGAGTTGAATTCAAATTCAGCCTCAGACACTTACTAGCTGTGTGACCCTGAGTAAGTCATTTAACTCTATTGCCTCAAAAAAATAAATAAATAAAGTATATATTAGTCATACCTTAGCTGCCTGTGAGGCCCCTAGGGTATGACTGATAGTCATAGGATGATAGATCAATTGTGTTAACATATGTATCTGGCAATTATTATTGTTATTATAGACCTATGATAGACTTAGAGGTTCTTAGCCTTTTCTGTGCCATGGACCCCTTTGGCAGTCTAGTGAAGCCTAGGGCCTTCTTCTCAGAATGTTTCTAAATGAGTGAAACACATAACACAGGATTATAAAGGAAACCAATTATATTGAAATAAAGATATATTTTTTTTCCCACTCGAGTTCACAGATCCCCAATTACCCATCCACCCTTGTGCATCCGTGGACCCTAGGTTAAGAATCCCTGATCTAATACAACTCCCTCGTTTCCTGGGTAATGAAGTCTAGAGAAGTTTCTGTGACTTGCCCAAGGTCATTCAGGTGGTAAATAGCAGAGTCAGAATTTGCATCCAGGTTCTCCTCTAATTCCAGAAGCCACTTTTCCACTGTAATATGCTACTTCTTCAAAGGTACCAGAAGGGAAGGAAAAAAAGAAAAAGAATCAGAGTTAGGGGATTCAATTAAACCTGGGCTTAGTGGTAGCCTCTGACATTCAGAGTCCTAATCTTTTTCAGCCCTCAATGCCCCCTTGGCTTTTAAGAAACTTTACAGTACCTCCTATTCAGTATGAAATGGAAAAAAAAATTCTAGAGTTTTCCATTGCATATGCATATAATATAATCTTTAGCTAATTTCAAAAGACTAATACAGTTAATCTCCAAATATTTCCATATCCCCTACTTGAGCTTTTTGCACCCCTAGGTTTAGGAATACTGGGAAGTTGGAAGTCCCTGCTGCACAGGTTCTGTCAATGGACCAATTAACATACATTAAGTGTCTAGAAGACCTTCTGAGTAAGTCCATCAAGTGAGATAACCTGGCTACTGACCATGTGATTCTAAGCAAGTCACTTAACCCACCTCAGGAAAATCTCAAACTATAAATTGCAGATTTATGTTGGCAGAGGGAGTTTCTTTCTGTGGGGTTTCATTCACCAATGAAATCTTAGGATGGGACCCCTCCTCCCTCCAGTACACATAAATTAAAAGCAAAAGCCATCTATATGTAGAGTATTGTGTTGGGTGGATGAAGACATAGTTTATATATGACAGGTTGTCTACAATCTAGAAAGGGAATAACACACAAGGAACTATAATGTTAACATGATGAATTTATTTGAGAGCTGTAGAACAAAGTGTTCCTTGAGGAGGGGAAGGGTATGGAAATCAGGTAAGGCTCCATGGAGGAGGTAGCATTTGAGATAAGCTTTAAAGGATGGGGAAAAAAATTCAATAGTCCAAGAAGGGGACGGACAACATTCTGGGCACAGGACACACCATGAGCAAATATGAAGATACAGAGGTGGGAAGTTCAGGTGTGTTTTGGGAGGCAGAGAATCTTACATCCTCAATAAAGGGGGGTAATATAAGGAATAGCTGCAGTGTCAGATTTTGGAGAGTCTTAAATGCCAGGCAGTAGTGTTGGAACTTTATTTGGGAAGCAGTAGGGAATCACTTAAGATTGCTTAAGAATGTGCAGTTAGAACTAGAAGGGACCTTAGAAGTCAGGTCAAGCCCACCAATTTACAGATGAAGAGATTGAGACTCTGGTTAAATGACTGCTGAAAGCCACACCGTCAGTATTAGATGTGATTTGAATCAAGATCTTAGTGACTCCAAGCCCAAGGCTCTATCGGTTACATAGCTGCCTCGAGTTTTTTGTTTTGTTTTGTTTTGTTTTTAGTAGAGGAGTGACTTGTTTGTAAATAAAACTTATCTGTAAGTACTGTGAATAATGGACTTGGGGGGGCGGGGTGGGACGGAGGGAAAGGATTGACAAAGTGGAGATAGGAAGGTCTATTAGCCTTGGATTACAATTCTGAAAGCTGTGGTTGAAGACCTAGACTAGGGCGGTGGGATAGAGAGGAGATTCAGAGGCAGGTGCTAATGAGACAGGTCCTGGACAGGATCTGGTAACTAAGTGAATTAGAGAGAGAGGGAAGAGTTAAAGAGAAACAACCCTAAGCTTATTAACATGAGAGTCCAGGTGACTAGAGGAACCCCAGAAAGAAATAGTGAAGTCAGAAGGAAGCATAGATTTGGGGAGAAAGATAATAAGCTTGGTTTGGGTCATCTTGAGTTGGAAAAAGGGTATGGGCCCAGGGTTAGACTGGCCTCTGAGGACAAGTCTAACCAAACTGCCAGCAGTCTCATCACCCAAAAATTGGCCATCACGTGGTGGTTATTTTTTTTCCTGGCCACTGAAGCAGAAGACATACAGTGGCCTAAAAGCTAAAAGCTTTTTAAAGAAACAAATTTTAATTAAGGGTTGTTTTTCCAGCACCTTGTGAGGCCCCTCCTGGACTTGAGGGCATCCTAGAGTCTCTTTCCCCTATCTTGAAATGCCATACAACTTGCACCAAAAGAATTTCCTTTGCCTCCCTTATCCTGTGTTCCATATTCTGTCATCCATCTTCCTCATCCTGTGTGATGACAATTTTTCCTTATCTTGACAACCATTTTCCTAAAAATATACCATTATCCTACAGGCTGTATAGCTTTCTGTCTATATAAGTCTGGGTCCTCTCCTATATCAGGGCCTTTGTTTAGCTCCTTGCTAATCTCAGGCCTGTGTGCTTTGACGAAATAAAGCTCCCAATGGCTACAGAGAAGGTCTAAGCGAATTCTTTCACACCTGAACCAGCTCTCCCAACTCTAAACCTCAACATAAAATGGTGCTGAAACCCGGGAGTCCAAATATTAATTGAACTCTGCTATCTTCTCCTGGCCTCTGGTCTAACAGCTATGTGCCCTTTTCTTTGTTTTCTTCCCCTGACCTTTTCTGCTCCTACCTTCTCCCTGGCTGAGAGACCCCTGGAGTGCCCAGACACTGCCAGCGGCGTCAGTCGGACTGTTGACCCTCGTATAAGGGGACGCCCTTGTGCTGAGTTGGTCACATTTTTTTCCTCTCAAGTGTCTTGGGACGCTAAGACAAGCGAGAGGCTGCTAGGAAACTGTTAGGATGGGAAATTCAGGGAAGGAGATCTTAAAGAAAAGTGCCTAGTATTCCATTGTAACACAGCCTGACCTCAATGTAATCTAGAAAAATAATTTGTAAAGGGGATTTCTAAACAAGACAAGCTTAGTAAGAAATTTGGTCTCCAAACTTAAAGAAAAGGCACCTCAGACTTTTATTCCCCTGCACCGTAGTTTACCCTGTATTGTTCCTTCCCCTCCCCCGAGGAACTTTGGGGAGGCAGGTAGGTGGGCCTTCACACCTGGTTTTCTTTGGGGGTCCCAGTGCCCCGTTTCAGGGTGTCCACGCTCTGTGGGCCTTTGCGTCTGGTTTTCTTTGGGTGTCCCTGCACCCCCATTTCAAGGTCTCATTTTCTAGTACATGCAGCTCAAAATTCTCAGGAAGATGGGAATGGAGAGTTGGACTGCTTAAGGCTTATCTGGTAAGTCTCAAAGGTAAAAGAGAAGAGGAACTACAGCTCTTCTCCAGCTGAGGCTGGAAGGTACGTAAGCCTCCTTTCTCTCTCTATCCCTTTTCTCACCCTGTAGTTGGGGCGGCTCTCCAAGTACCTAGGAAGGCCTGACCTCTCAGATCTGACCAAATGGGTCAGACAGCTACAAGGCTGTCTCACACTCAGCCTGAGCTCTCGGTCAAGTGGTTCGAGGCCATGGACCTGGGCACACCTTCCGCAGCACAGAGGACAGACTCTCTATCCAGAAGCTTATGTCCAATTCTGTCAATTCTTTCAAATCTCTGGGCACTAGGGAATTGGAAAAATTGCAATTACTCCCTTCCTTCTGTACACGGAGACTCCTGGGAACTCCAGTTCAAGGAGGTAAAAAGGTTTTTGGATGTGGAAATTGTCACCATGTGTCTTCAAAAAACAAAACAAAACAAAAAGGTGCATTTATGGCTAATAATCTCTTTTAAAGTGCTAAGAGTATTGGGCCTGAGAAATTAAAATGTTACCATTAGTGATTATGAATCCAGATCTTGTTTGCTCATCTAATTAAATTTAAGGTCACCTGATTGGTAATTAACTGGTTTTGTGTCAAGCTTTATATATGTGATAATTGCTAAATTTTCTTGTATTGTGTAATGTGGTTAACAATTGTATCACCTGTGTTAGAAAAGCAATTTTTCTTATAATATACACGTTGTTAGATCAAGCATTGTACTGTCAGATTGTGAGGTTGTTAACTAAGACAAGGGTTTTTGGAACTATCTAGTCATAATTTCTTATCAATCCTGTGCAAGTCTTCTATAGTGGAATTCCTACTGAGTAAATTTTTAAAGGCCTGGTAAACTTTGTTAATGTGATAAGGCTAATTAAATTGAGTGTGTTTAAAACCCAATTAGGAAAAAAACCTTGAAATTTCCCAAGGTAAGCACTTTTTGGTACTTAGGAATTTGTGATTATTGAGAATTTGGTTTTATGGCACTTTGGGAATTTGTGATACTTAAAAGATGTTTTACACCAACTTGGTTTTGATAAATTCCAATCTTTGAGGTTTCTAGCTAATTTACTTCATGAAAGTTTAGTGATTACTCCTTTTAAGAAATCAGGATAAACTGTAACTTTTTTTAAAAAAAGGGAAAAACTTTTTACAAAATAATGTTTTGCAAAATCTTTTTGTGTGATTTTTAGAAGGCCTACTAAATTTCCACTTGCTGGCTAATTTGTTGCAGTAATTTGATATTGATAATAATTACGTCCAAATCTACTATGAATTTTCTAAGTTTCATTCCTAGGTTTGTTGTGTCCTTAGATCGGGTGATTTCAGAGAAACAGTCAATGGTTCGTGCTTCAGGTGCCATAAGAAAGGGTACTAGTCTTGAGAATGTAGTTCTGAAAGGTTTAATACCCCACTCTAAATTTTTACGGGGTGGACATAAAAGTGAAAAAGTTAGGACAGCTAAAACATCTTAGCAGATTCTGGAAGTTTTGAGATTGATCATTAAGGAGTCTTTAAACACTTCATTAAAATCTTGTCACTCCCTTCCCCACTCCCTCCCCTGGAGTCAAGACGGTTTCTCAGTGTGGGGATTCCAAACAGCCCTGGGTTTCCCTGTTAACCCCTTTCATCCCAGATCAGATTAGGAAGAGGGTGTTTCATCCCCCTCACTCCCGCCTACAAGTTCACCTTCCCCCACCTGGCTATAGGAAGAAGGGGGAGAGGCTGCAGCTACAGCCTAGAAGTATCTTCCAGCACACAGCTGTGGGAAGACAGTGAAGGGGGATGGGTCAAGGTAAAGAAGTCAGTATGTGTCTGTACTTAGTAAGCCTGCCCATCCTTCTATCAATAATGTTTATATGATCTGGAAACTCAATTGTTGTCATCTGAAGTTTATTGTTTTGTGTTACAGCTAAAACAATTTAGTTATCACTTATGAAAATTGTAAGATTGTTGGTTGTTTTAATGTTAAAGCCTAAAGCTGTTAATTAATTACTGTGTATATGTGTGTAAAGGAGCACTCCTCAGGGCTAGTGGAAAAGCACAGCCCATAGAAATCCTAAAGATAGATGGGGTGGATAAGGCAGCCCCTTCTCGGGGATCCATGTTGATCCTCCTTCGTTTTGTAAACTTGCCAAAGAGCTTGTTTGGGTTATGGAGTTCCTAAACAAGGAATTTGGCTTGCTGAGAGTTTGCTAGTATATAGAAATGATCTCTAGTGATTCACTTTTGCACGAGAACAAATTTACATTTGAGAAGTGAGTCCTGGCAAATTTTTGATTAGTGAAACTTGCCATCTGAGGTCAAAGCTCATGGGACCATAACGAATTGTGTTTTGAGTTGTCTGATGGATCATAAAAATCCATCCATAATCAATAGCCAATAATCCACCATCTGAGAGAATTGCCACAAGCTACTCAGAGAGAATGTGGCTGTTACAGGTGGACGTCTGCATCTGGAAAAGCTGAGAGGACAGTCTTAGCCTCAGCCTAGGATTGGATCCTCCTGGCTCAGTTTCCCCACTATATTCCTTTGAAAAAGAATGTTTCCCACCTGACTATTCCTGAGTCTGGCTATGAGGTGGAATTGACACTGCATGGTTGGAAAACTATGATGTCCTTGCTTTTCCTTTTTATGGCAAGTTTCTGTAATCAAATCAAACAGTAAAAGATGTGAGCACAATAAATCTTGCTGTTTTCAATCTGAATGTGTAACCATCCCATATCTCAAACAGGTAAATTAGTAGTCATGTGAAAGATTAAATCCCTGGAATAGAACATTCTTTCTGAATGATAGGGGAATAATTTGACAAAGGAAAAGGAAAAAGTCTGTGAAACAAAGGTACAAACACAATGTTGAATCATTATCCCACCGACTAAGGCTGGGATACATCTGAGCTACTATATTAAAGTGTGTGTTTAAGATCTGAGCTATTCAGTCTAAGATTATGTTCCTTTCTATTTCTCAAGCCACTTAGGAAATTAGTATTTGGCCTAGACATCTGCCTATTACTGGATATGTTTGTATGGAATAAGGTCCTTAAATGTTTCAAAATGATGTAAGAATAATTGGGTATTGGTACAACTGATTGAGGGACCTAGCTAGTATTCTATTAGTTACTGAAACTAAATCAGAAACATCTTCAGCTTGGGGGAAAGAATTTCAGTTCAATTTTCTTAGAGGGAGGTAACTTATGGAATATTTTTGCATTAATGGAAAAGTCAATTTCATTTAAAGTTTACTACTATTGTGGAAATAATACCTGTTTATTCTGTATGTCCTGTGGCACAAACATGTTTTATTGTAAACAACTTACTGATATGCACTGTTTTGGAATTAATTACTTAGAGATCTTCCCAAGTCTTTTATGATAATTGGAGTAAAGTCAACCTCTTATAAGTAAATTCATTCATATAACTACGGAACTGAAGGGTAGAAAGCTTCTACCTGCAAAAGTGTTGTTACTTATATTTACATGTATAGAGTTGGATCCTCAATAGCATCTGATTCTCCTAAAAGAATTGGAATCATAGTGGAAAGTTTTGAGGAAAAAACAAGATCAGATAATCCTCTGTCAAAAGTAAATAATAGCATCATGGGGCTCTTGGTTTCTTTCTTTGTTTTCCTTTTTTCTGACAGTATTTTTAATGCTCCTTCTATTTAGGCCCTGCATATTGAAACTTGTTTGTCAGATTTGTGTCTCCTAGATTATCGGCTGTCCACCTGCAGACGGTCATGCAACAAGGATAACTGTTCCACACTCTCTTCATCCCCTGGACGCTGCTTCAGCCTCATTTTACTTCTCTCCCCACCCTCACTCAGGCAGGGACAGCTCCTTTGTCCCTCTTCCAAAAGCATTTGGGTGAATGCTGAGGCAGAGCGGAGTGCTGGAGGCAGATGAAGCAAGCAGGATGCAGGATGTGAGATATGGGATAAAATGCAGCGTGTGACCAGTCAGAAAAGTGATCAAAGAAGACTATGCATTGAAGCCCCTCACCATGGGGACTTGCCTGTGTGTTTTCTAGCTATGCTTTGTTCTGGGTCCCACCTTGAACCACCTCTCCTGTTACCTATTCCTGATTCCTGCCTTGTGCCTAGGTTAGGCCTGCTTTCCTGGAACCGGAATCAAATGCTTTAATTCAAAGAGGGAACTCTGTGGGGCAAGGCATTGTACATGATTGCTGGGTGTGTCAACTAGCTTACACCCTATAGCTCTCCCCCTGAAAACCCTGCATGGAATTTATCCTTTCAGCACTTGAAAGATTGTACAGGCAGCCTCTTGGATGCCAGACATCCACTCCAGCCTGATACCTCCCCCTACCTTCTCCTGGGGTTCATGTTTTCTTCCCTTCTTTCCCACATTCTAATCCCATTACTTGCTCTCATATTTGGTCCGTGTTTGTTTAACGTCCTGGTCTGATTTGTGTCTTCTAGCCTGCAGAAATTCCACTTTCAATTCTTAGCATACCACCTCCTACCCTTGGTGTCCCTGAGTGGTTTGCCTTTCTCCACAATGGACTCAGCTGGCACTGCATCCCACACCTTCATGCTGACCTCCCCTCCTCAACCTATTCTCGGCCCCTGAAATGGACTCCACCCCTGTTCAGCAGGAAGCAGCTACTAAAGAGAATGACCTTCAGCCCTTCTTCCCCGATTTCTTTTGCCTAGTGTTTGAGTAGGGAATGAAGCAGAAGACACACAGTGACCTAAAAGCTAAAAGCTTTTTAAAGAAACAAATTTTAATTAAGGGTTGTTTTTCCAGCACCTTGTGAGGCCCCTCCTGGGCTTGAGGGCATCCTAGAGTCTCTTTCCCCTATCTTGAAATGCCATACAACTTGCACCAAAAGAATTTCCTTTGCCTCCCTTATCCTGTGTTCCATATTCTGTCATCCATCTTCCTCATCCTGTGTGATGACAATTTTTCCTTATCTTGACAACCATTTTCCTAAAAATATACCATTATCCTACAGGCTGTATAGCTTTCTGTCTATATAAGTCTGGGTCCTCTCCTATATCAGGGCCTTTGTTTAGCTCCTTGCTAATCTCAGGCCTGTGTGCTTTGACGAAATAAAGCTCCCAATGGCTACAGAGAAGGTCTAAGTGAATTCTTTCACACCTGAACCAGCTCTCCCAACTCTAAACCTCAACAGCCACAATTGTAAAAGCCATCTGCTAAAGTCCCAGCCTTGGCGGGGGAGAGATATACCCACACTGATGACATCATGGTTTTATGAACTATTATTAAGGAAAGAGGAAGGACTAGGAGAGAAAGAGAAAATAAAAGCATGGAGACAGTGTGGCACAAAGGGCTTACCTTTGTTCAAATTCTAGCCTCTGCTATTTATTTCCTTTGTAACCTTGGATGTGACACTTCAACACTCTGGCTGATGCGGTCTAGAGGTTAGGGGTCCTGGCACCCCAAAATCACGACACCCAGGTCCTGCCCAAAAGAATTCAACCCAAGCCTTATTGCAGCCAAAAACAAAGTTTATTGAAGATTCGCCATATTAGTTAGACCCTTAAGAAGTCTGAGCATCTATGGGCTATTGGCTAGATTGTAAAAATCTGAGCATCTTAATGGAGACAAGATGGACCATATATACAGAAAGACCTTGGGAGAGTGGCCAAGTAGTCCATGAGGTAATAGAATTCTCAAGGGTGGCAAATGGAGCCCAGGTGGGACCAAGGGTGGGAAGTGGCCTGGGGCCATAGGGAGGCAAGACAATAGAGGGGAGATTGGGTGTAGCCACAATGAAAGACTAGTTGATGGGACCATAGCCTCAAGGGAACACCAGAGATTTGGCTATGTGGGAAAGTCCAGGGTTTTTCCTTTCTGGGGTCCAGATCCCAACCTCATCAGGGCCAGAGTTTTTCCTTTCTGGGGCTCAGATTCCAACCCCATCATGGCCACCAGCTCCTCATCACATTGGATCAAATAGCCATTAGGACCCCACCTAAGTTTCCTAATCGTTTGTCTAAAGCTGTAGAGAAACCTTGCCAATTTCATTTATTTTATTTAATTTTTTTCAATGAACAAAAATTCATTTTATCACCCTCTCCCTCCCCCCCAATTGAAAGAAAAACAAAAAAGAAAAACAAAATTCTTGTAAATAATGCAGTCTAAAAACAAATTCCCACATTGGCCATGGCAAAAATACAGGTCTATTATCTGATTAGTCTCTAAGTAGATCAGAGTTCTTAAGTCTAACCCATCAATTTCACTTTAAAATCTATTAGTTCATACCCCAACAGTAAGTGTCAAAGATTGAATTTGCATAGAAAAGAGTCACCAAAGCCAACCAGAATTCACCTTTATAAACACTGCAACTCATCTGAATGCAATCAGTTTTTTCCTCTGGAACAAAGATTCTGAATCTCACTTTGTAGACTATGAAACGTCTTTTGTAAACTTCTGTTCTATAGTAATCATTGGAAAGAAAGAGGGCCTTTACTAGGGAGTGTCTTCTGGAAAGGGACGGTTTCATATCTACCTCTTCTCTTCAAGGATTTTTATGCAGCTCTGCTCTGCTGACTGAATTCTGCTCTGGCCCCCTGGAAAGCAAAAGAGTCTGGCTATCGGCCAAGGCCAAAAGATGGAGAAGAGAGACCTCCCCTGGATCATCTAGTTTAAAAGGGTGAGTACTGAAAAATCAATTTTTTTTCTCATTTGCATTTAATTTAGGCTCGCAGTGACAGGTTTGTGTGTCTTCTCCAATAAAAAGGAAGCTCTTTGAGGGCAAGGGCTAACTATTGTCTCTGACTAAGCTGAAAGAATGTTTTTTCTTTCATTTGTTTGCTTATATTTTCCAGTTTACTCTAAGTTAGAGAGCACTGCCTTCATTCATTTTGCCACTGTGTATGAATTTATTATTAAAGGTAAATTACTCATATGTTGCTCCCTTTTGGTGTTAACTATGGGAGTTGTGGGTAGGGTGCTGGACATCACGAGACCTGTATTCAAATCCTATTTTAGACACTTAGTAGCTGTAGAATCATTTGCAAAGCTCTGCAACCTCACTTTAGTTGTAATACTAGGATAATACTATGTCCCTCAGGGTTCTTGTGAAGAAAGCATTTAGATATGTAGATGTGAGTTCATGCAATACAGTATTTATTGAGAACCTATACAGGATGTCCCAAAAGTCTTAGTGCAATTTTAAGCTCATAAAACTTAAGAGCCATAATGAGAGAAGGAGGTATAAAGTCTGCCTCCTTATACAGGAGAAGTATAAGAAGTATACTCCCTGGTCTCAAGGAGATTACAATAATGTGGGGAGGCAAGACCTAGATATGAAAAGATAACAAGTCATAAAACAGAGCATATGATGTGTGCCCAATAAATGCTATATGTTCTGAGAATAACAAAAATGAACATTTTACATGAACTTTTGATTTGCTTAGGTCCTGAATATAGCCTGGAATAACTCAGAAAGCCTTCAGAGATGAGGTAGGAAAAGATACAGACTTTGGGTAGTAATCACACACTTTTCTAAGGTGTTTTGAGGTTTACGAACTGGTTTTCTTCACAACAACCCCATGATGTGGGTAGTACAAGAACTATTCACCCCAGTTTATAGATGAATAAACTGAGGCTCAGAAAGACTAGAGACACACAGGTAATAACTTATTTTATGGTATAATGTAACACTCCAACCCAGCCCTTATGATTTCCAAGTCCAGCATCCTTTTTTTTCCCATCTTTATTTGTGTTTTTTAATTAATTAATTAACTTTTAGTTTTCAATATTCACTTTTATAAGATTTTGAGTTCTAAATTTTTCCTCCTCCCTCTACCCCCTCTCCCCAAGAAAGCATGCATTCTGATATAGGCTATATATGATCATATTAAACATATTTCCACATTAGTCATCTTGTAAAGAAGAATCAGAACAAAAAGGAAAAACCACGAGAAAGAAAAGAGAGAGAGAATTGTCTGCTTTGATCTGCATTCAGACTCCATGGTTCTTTCTCTGGATGTAAATAGCATTTTCCATCATGGGTCTTTTGGAATTGTCTTAGATCATTGCATTCCAGCGTCTTTTCTGCCATGATGGTTAAGATGTGAAGATGAGAATGATCCATGGAGGCAGCACATTAGTAATGGCAAAAGAGGAAAAAGAATGAGCTTTGCTCTAGGAATAATGAGATCAACAGATCATGAAATGCTAGGTCAGGAAGTTTGGGAGCTATCTTACAGGTGACAGGGAAACTAGTGACAGCTTTTGACCTTGGAGGTTCACTAATGAAAATAATGCTTTAGAAAGATTTGTTTCAGTGATAGGTAAGAGTTAGGGGAGGGGATTAGGAATGTAAACCAAATCAGAGGTTAATCAAAAATCCAAGTTTGACTTAACCCTAGATGAAGAGTTGTGGCCATGATAGATTGGATGTAAGAGATGGGAGGGAGAAAAGATGGTAGTGAAGGACCAGGAGAATAATGAGCCACAGACAAAGGAAATAGGGACTTCTGGAATGAGAAAGTATTTTTGGTATAAGGTGACTTTGGTTTTGGGACATCAAAATATATATATTTTAGAACTAAAAAAGACAATATCAATCATCCAGTTCAATTGCCCCTTACAGATATGGAAACTGAGATCATTTTAAGTCTGAAGTGATCAAGACAAATGACAATGTTCAATAGACAATTCTAGAATCACAGAATCAGATACTTGGACTTTATCTAATCTAGTCCCCTCATTTTACATCTAAGAGAGTGAGTGGTTCAGTCAACTTGATGGAAGTTGTTGGACTTCAATAGGCTTTCGCCAATTGAAGAAAAGCCTTCTCTTTTAACCCACCTCATCCTGCCTTAAGCCTCTAATGCCACTTCCTTATTCCCCACTCTTCTCCTGGGACACATGAAATCCAGAGGAATCCAGACTTCCTGATTTGAGCCCTATTCACTCAATGGTAGTAGTAGAGTAAAGGGAAGGGAGCCACCTTCTTCCCACACATACGTCTCCTCTCCGTTTTTTTTTTAATCTGAAAAGTGATACCAGAACCAAGGATAAATTGAGTTTCAAGGAGAGAGTGGTCAGCAATGTCAAATATCCAAAAGAGGTTAAGGAGAATGAGAACTGACAAACGACCCTATGATTTTTTTTGTTGGGTTTTTTTTTTAGGTCACTATTGACCTTTGGTCTCAGGAGGGATAGCTCCCATGGGTTCAACAATCACCTTCTACACATTTGATTTCCAGATCTATATTTCCAGTCCTCTTGGACATCTTCCATTGGATATCCCTATGGACATCTCAAACTCAGCTCATCAAAAACAGAACTTATTCTCTCCTTACGCTCTTCTTAGCTTCTTTCTTTCTTTCTTTTTTTCTTTCTTTCTAGGACATCACATTCTTTCCAGCCACCTAGGCTTGCAACCTAGGTATCATCCTCAACTCTTTTTCACATAATTGGTGCTCAATAAATGTTTATTCATTCCTTCCTCACCCTGCATATCTAATCAGTTGCCCGGTATTATGAATTCTACCTCCACAATTATCCATGTCATTATCCATCTCCTCACCACTCACTTTATGCAGTTACCACACATCTTTAGGCTCTTATCAGCTCTCCCCTAGACTACTGTAATAGCATACTAGTTGGTCTTCCAGTCTCTCTCTTTTCCAATCCATCCTCCATACAGCTTCCAAATTGTTATTCCTAAAGCACAGATCTGACCTCATCATTCATTCCCCTGCTCCAAGAGCTCCAGGGGTTCCCTTGAGAATAAAACAAAAACTCTTCTGTTTGACTTTTAAAGCTTTTTAGAATCCTGCTCGAGCAGGTTTACTGAATGTTAATCTCCTTCATTAACTCCAAATTCCCAACAAAATGGCCTGTTTGCTGTTCTCCATCTATGTTCCGTGATGTTCTTTGCTGTTGTGCCTGGAATGCACTCCTTCCTCACCTCCTCCTTGGAGACTCTAGCTTCCTTTAAGGCCGTTCTTCAGCCCCATCTCTTATTGGAAACCTACCTTGATTTCCCTCTAGTTTCTAGAAACGTCCTCCCAGAAAATCACTTCGTAAATGTTTTGTATTTAATATTTTATATCCATGTTATTCTCGACCCATTTACAATTTAAGCCCCCCAACGGCAAGAGAGTGTTTCATTTTTGCCTTTATTTCTCCAGCTTTTTAAACTGTGCTTGGAGCATGTTGTTCAGTTGTTTTGAGATATATGTGTGTGAGTGTGTGTGTGTGTGTGAGAGAGAGAGAGAGAGAGAGAGAGAAATTCCAATTGGGGTTTTCTTTGGCAAAGATACTGGAGTGGTTTGCCATTTCCTTCTCTAGCTCATTTTACAGATGAGGAAACTGAGGCAAACAGGGGTAAGTGACTTGTCAATGGTCACATAGCTGGTAAGTGTCTGAGGTCAGATTTGAACTAAGGAAGATGAATCTTCCTAGCTCCAGGCCCCATACTCTATCTGCTGCACCACCTAGCTGCTAGCTTGGAGCATAGTAGACTCTTAATGAATGCTTATGTTAAAAGAAATCTGGATTTAGGCCTCACTCTGGTCAATGAGGCAAAGGTAAAAGGATTTTATTTAGTACACCAAGGCCACTTTGCTTTTTTTGTAAACAGCTTCCATAGAGGGGCAAAAAGTATGTTGATTGCATACAAACATGAGAAGATTAGTGTCACCTCAGCTCCTCCCTTTTTACAGTATCACTTGGAGACTGATTAGTGCTGATATGCAAGGATATTTTCAGATCACAATCTCCTACAGGTTGGCTGTGCATGTACTCAAAGTCTGAACTAGGTTTTTATTTTTTTTAATTTTTTTATTAATTTATTTTGATTTATCAATAATCATTTCCATATACTTTAAAAAAATTTTTTTAAGAAGTTTTTTTTTGGTTTGGTTTTTTTTTTGTTTTTTTTTTTTTAGGCAATTGGGGTTAAGTGACTTGCCCAGGGTCACACAGCTAGTAGGTGCCAAGTGTTTGGTCTGAGGCCAGATTTGAACTCATGTCCTCCTGACTTCAGGGCCTGTGCTCTATCCACTGTGCCACCTAGCTGCCCCCATATACTTTTGAGTTTAAAATTTTTCTCCCCCTACCTCCCCACCACCCTCCCCAAGACAGCCCATAATCTGATATAGGCTGTACATATACATTCCTATTAAACATATTTTCACATTAGTGATGTTGTAAGTAAAAATTAAAACCAATAGGAGGAACCATCAGAAAGAGGAAACAAAACTCAACAGAAGAGAAACAAAAATAGCAATTCAACTTCCATAGTTCTTTCTTTGGATATGGATAGCATTTTCCATCACGAGGCCTCTGGAGACGTCTTAGAGTCTTGTATTGCTGGGAAGAGTTAAGTTTATCACTATTAGTCATAGCACAAGGTGGCTGTTATTGTGTACAATGTTCTCCTGGTTCTGCTCACTTCACTCAGCATCAGACCATACAAGTCTTCCCAGGTTTTTCTGAAGTCAGCCTGTTCATCATTTCTTATAGCACAATAGTATTCCATCACATTCATTTACCCTAACTTGCTCAACCATTCCCCAATTGATGAGCTTCCTCTCAATTTCCAATTCTTTGCCATCACAAAAAGAGCTGCTATAAATATTTTTGTACATGTGGGTCCTTTTCCCTTTTGTATGATCTCTTTGAGATACAGCC